AATTAGTTAATATTATATCTTTCCTCCAGTTTTACTGTGTACACAAACTGTTCAGTCTTAGAATATCCAGAATGTGCACCTTAGTGCCCACACATTGCATTTGCAAAGGACTAAAGATATGACTTAAGAACCTCAGAAATGGGAACCAGCAGTTAGCGTAATGGCTATGTCGCTGGACCCCCACGTAGTGGACTGTGGTTTGCGTCCCGGACCTGGTGTCTTAAAACTCACGCTGGGTGCGTGTGCGTGCGTGCCCAAGATCCCGAGAGGAGAATGGAGGAGAAGGGATTGCGGCGTGACCATCCCCCCTGGGGGGTGATTTCTCGCTTTCTGTCTCTCTGTCTCTCTCTGTCCGTCTGGCGAGCGCACGTGCCCTATAGCGAAAACCTCCCCCCCCCAAAAAAAAAGAACCTCAGAAGTATTTTCAACTGGAAAAAATAAATGTGTTCACTTCAGTGAGTGTCTAGTTGGCAGCCACCTTTAATCCACTCACTCATCCTTTTATTCAGCAAATATTTACGGTGGTGCTACAGTAATGTGATGCTCTAGGATGTTGAAGCCACATGGCAAGGTCTGCGGTTGCAGCCTGAGGAACTCCTGCACACACTGTCCCTGATTTTGACCGACCGGCGACGGAAGTCAGTCACAGTGTAAAGACTCTGCTGGGAGTGTCCTCCTCATGTGGAAGAAATGTAGAAATACAGACATGCATACTCCTGAGGGGTTTTAAAAGAATTATATATTTAATTTTATTTATGATTATTATTAGTATTACTATTTTAATTCATCAGAGAGAAAGATAAAGTAAGAAAGCAAGATGCCAGGTCTGGGACTCAAACTGCGGTTGGCCACATGGGAGTCCAGTGCCCTAACCACCATGCCACCTTCTGGCCCCATACATACTTCTAAAATAAATAAATAAATATTTAGAGAATACCTACTGTTTTCAAAGCACTCTCCTGAGTACTGATTAATAAACAGTAAACAAAACAGAGTCCCTCCCCTCATGAGTTTTCATTCAAGTGGAAAAGACAGGCAACAAGCAGTCAATTAGTGTCAGGTTGTAATAAAAGTCATGATAAATAAAGCAAGATAAGGGTTAGAGAATGTCAAAGAAAGTAGTCAGGAAAAGCCTCTCCAAGGAGCAAGTATTTGAGCTGACCAAATTAAAAATAATAATAATAATTGGGACCAGCAGGTGGCATGGTGGTTAAGGTGCTGGACACTCCCGCATGGCTGACCACAGCTCGAATCCTAGACCTGGCGCCTTGCTTTCTCACTTTCTCTCTCTCTCTCTCTCTCTCTCTGTGTGTGTGTGTGTGTGTGTGTGTGTGTGTGTGTGTGTCTGGTCAAGTTAAAAAATAAATGAATGAATAAATAAATTTTTAAAAGTAAAAAAATAATAATAATAAATAAAATTAAATAAATCTACAAAAAAAGAAAGAAAGAAAGAAAGAAAGAAAGAAAGAAAGAAAGAAAGAAAGAAAGAAAGAATAAAGGAAGTGAAGGGGAAAGTCATGTGGAAACCTGATGGAAGAACACTCCGAGCAGAGCGACAGAGGAACTACAAAAACCCAGAGGCTGAGACTTGCCTGGCATGTCTGAGGAATGGCAAGGTGACGGATGTGCTCCGAGAGCAGTGCGTCAGGGGACATCAGTGGGAGGTGAAGGGGAGAGGTGAACACAGGCAGGTCATGTACAGCCTTGAAAACAACGCTGCAGAACTTGGACTTGAAGTAGGTGCAACGGCGGGGAGCTGCGAGCACACGACATGGCCTATTTATGCTTTCATGGGCTCACGCAGACAAATGGCTGAAGTTGCTTTTCTGCACATCTTTCACACTTCTGTCTTCCTTCCTTCCTTTTCACTACCTGCATGCTTCACTATGTCAAATACTGAGCACTGGATTTGGCGATAGAAAGGCCATTGGTGACCTGTAAATTCAAAGTTGGTGGGAAGTATTGGAAAATAAAAGCCTAATGGAAATGAAGGCAGAGAAAATTGGAGCGGATAATTGTGGAGACACAGCAGATATCAAAAACTCTTTCAAAGTCTGCTATAAAATGAAGGGGAAAAAAGGAACTGAAGTTGGGAGAGTAAGAGATGTCAAGAAAGATGTTCCATTCTTCCTGTTGAATGTCCATAGCAAAAATCCGGAGAAAAGAACACATGAAGATCTAGAAAAGAAAGGAACCTAAGCTGCAAAGGTGAAAATGTTGACGTGACATAGTAGCAGGGATGTACATCCCTTTTTAACATGAAGGAAGAAAGGAAAATGCATGGTAAAGACGTAAAAGGTTTGCAGATTTGGTGAGAGGAAAATAATAGAAGATTTCTGATGGCTTGTATTTTCTCAGCATTACTAGAAGCAAAAAAGAAGACGAATGTGAGAAAGGATACCTGGAGGCTTGAGGAGGGAGAAAGTATGAGATGATTGCTGCTGAATGGCAACTTTGTCTTTCTATGGGTCCTTGACCTCTAAGTCACTGGTGACTGCTTTGTCATATATATGCTTTCAGAGGACAGAGTTATGGGGGTTTTTGGGGTTTTTTTTTTTTTTTTTTTGGAGACGTTTTTGCCATAGGGCACGTGTGCTCGCCAGACAGACACAGAGAGAGAGACAGAAAGCGAGAAATCACCCCCCCAGAGGGGATGGCCACACCGCAATCCATTCTCCTCTCAGGATCTTGGGCACGCACGCACACGTGCCCAGCATGAGTTTTAAGCCACCGGGTCTGGGACGCGAACCACTGTCGACTACATGGGAGTCCAGTGACATAGCCATTGCGCTAACTGCTGGTCCCCAGAGTTATGTGTTTTGTTTGTTTTGTATGCAGAAAAGAGCTACAGACAAGAAATAGATGCTGAGGTTGAAAAGAAGCTGTTGCCATGATCCCAGAGTCAGGACATTAAGGTTTACCTAGCTGAGGGCCAGCAGGGGGCATGGTGATTAAGGGTGCTGGTATCCCAGATGGCCAACCAGGGTTTAAGTCCAGGACCTGGTGGTTTGCTTTCTCACTTCCTCTCTCTCTCTCACTCTCAACAACTTCCTTTCTTTCTTTTTCTCTTCCTTTCTTTTACTCACTTGCTCCTTCCTTCCTCCCTCCCTTCCTTCCTTCCTTCCTTCCTCCCTTCCTTCCTTCCTTCCTTCCTTCAATTTGATCAGAGACCAGAGAGGGACAGAGTAAGAGAAAATAGAAAGTGAAAGTGAGAAAGCAAGCCACCAGGTCCAGGACTAGAACTGTGGTTGGCCATGTGGGAGACCACCATGCCACCTATTGGCCACAATAAAATAATTCTTATAAAAAAAACTTTGGGGACCAGCAATTGGCGTAATGGCTATGTCGCTGGACTCCAATGTAGTTGACCGTGGTTCGAGTTCCAGACCTGGTGGCTTAAACTTATGCCGGCCACATGTGCATGCGTGCCCAGGATCCTGAGAGAAGAATGGAGAAGAAGGGATTGAGGCGTGGCCATCCCCCCTGGGGGATGATTTCTTGCTTTCTATCTCTCTGTCTCTCAGTCTTTCTGGTGAGCACACATGCCCTATAGCAAAAACCTCTCAAAAAAAAAAAAGTTTGTCTAACTGAAGTCTTAGAGAAGAAACACAAAAATATGAGGCCTTTTCAATGGATCATAAAACAATATGTCACACTTTTGGCATAAAGAAATAGGATTCTGAACAATAGAAGCCATCCATCCAATAAACTCAACACCATATACTCATCAGCTTGTCTTTTTCATCCTCTAAGAGTGCTAGAATAATTACTTAGATGTAAACTAGTGACCGAAACAAACACATCTGTTTTTCCCAGACACATAATGAAGATTACCCCTTAGTATTACCACTTAGCTTACTCTATTTTATAATCTGAAAATGAATTTCATTCATGTCAAAAACTCAAATACACCTATTATATTTTTTATAAATTCATTCAACCTTTTTTCTGACTTATTAAAGGGACTGTTTACAAATATCAGTTCCCTGGTTATTCTCACTGACCTTGGGTGTGGCTAAGCTATACTACCGGCACCATAATACCTACCTAGTTATGAATCAGTGAGGTTGACCTTTGAAAATCAGCTCACGTCAGGTATAAGAACACATTTTTCCTTCAACTATTTTTAAAATTTTTTAAAAAAATTATTTCTATTTAACTTTATTTGTTTATTTTAATTTGTCCAGAGAGAGACAGAGTGAGTGAAACACACACACACACAGAGAGAGAGAGAGAGAGAGAAAGCAAGCTGCCAGGTCCAGGACTCGAACTGCAGTCGGCCATGTGGGAATTTGGTGCCTTTAACCAACATACCACCTGCCGACCCCATCCTTCACCTATTTTAAGAGTCACATATATTCATTATTTTGTATAAATAATTAACATATTATTACAATTTGAAATCATCTATACAATCTTCAACAGAACAAGAACAAAAAATCTAAAACATTTAAAAATATTTTCTGAAATTCTATTTCATTTCACTTACTAGTGATATTTAAGTTCAGACTCACAATTTAACACTCATCTAGAGAAACCTCAACTAATTGTCTAGGATAATTTCATCTTTGTTGTCCAGCAGTTTTCCTTCCATTAGGTCATCAGTTAACACTTCTCCAACAAATCAGAGTCCTCTTAGGAAAGATCATTATGAATACTGACATCAACAAATTTCTAAAACCTCCGAGGTGGACAGTTCTTCTCGAAGTCAGCATAATTCCATTTCTCCAGTCTCTTGGACTAGATGCAGTTGTTGATTAACCAGGTAAGGCACACTGAGGACATACTTACTCATTAAAGTATTTAACAAATTTGCTTATCTATAGTATTTCCCCGTTGGAGACATTAAACTATGTGTGATTAGAGACTGTGTCCACGGAGACCATTTTTATATCCTCAACCTCACAAATAGTAAAAGGCCAATAAAATATATGCTCAATCACTGAAAGACCCAGCACCTTGGAAGCGATTATGAAGGACTCCACAGCAATGCCACCTACCTGTGAGATCCAGAGTTCTGTCCACAAACACTACTGATGCCCGGCCTACAGCAGACTTCCTCCTGTTCTTGGCAGGGGCATAATTAGCCAGATCTGCAGCAATGACCCGACTGAGGGAACCCACAGCAAAACACTCCTCTCGTACCCCTAAATGCTCACAGAGGGAACTGAGGCCTGACACCAGGCACCTGATCTGCAGCAGCAGCTCTGGGGTCAGGGCAGTTGAATCCACCTCGCCCAGGCTTGCCAGCCTCCTCTTGTCCGGTCGGGCACTATTAAGGAGATGCACATCCTGGAGTAACAGTGGGAAAAGGGAAGCAAAGGCTGGAGTCAAGGCAAGGTGAGGAGCTGCAGGGGCAAGCAACAACGGGACGTGCAGCACCTCAGCCGTATAGTTCATGTTGCCCATCCATTCACACAGTTTCTCCTCCAGCTGTTCGAACACAGGCTGCTGCCCCTCCAGCTCGGCCGCTGCAGCTGCTGGCACGTGGTTAGCGGTGAGGTGAACAGCATGGCTCACGGCGGTGACCACCACACAATACTGGAAATGACTGCGGCAGACGATGTCTCGTATGGTCTCCACGGTCCGGCCTTTCAGTAGACAACTCAGCACGAACACCGCCTTGGGTTGTTCGGCTCCGCCACCCACTGCGCCGGGCTCAAACTCCCGCAGGTGACACGCAGGACCCCCTACCGCCTCCAGGAGCCGCGTAGATCCGCAGCCCCAGTGCAGACTCTCGGCGCAGGCAGCATCCAGGTAGACCACGGCCCGTTTCACTTTGGCCAGCACCTGTTCCCAGCCTTGCTGGGTAAAGGACAGCACGCTCGGGGAGCTCATAGTTGGGGATTCGCAGACTTGGGGGACTCGAGTGAAAAATTTCTCTCAGAACTCACTGCTTCCGGATTTCAGGATCCCAGAGACTTTGACAGTCAACACAGTACACGTGGTCCTGCCGCTGACGCGACTGGTGACGGCGCGCGCTGATGACGTCGGAGTGAGCGGTGATTGGCCTGTCACGAGAATGGGGAGCTGGGAAGCGGAAGTGGGCGGGGCTCCGCGGCTCTGCGCGTCCTCGGAAGTTCGGAAAAGGAAGGGGCTGCCTGGGAAAGAGGCTGACTGTGTTCTGTTCGTCGTCCTTCCTACTTGGGAAATCTCAGCAATAAAACCCGAGCCGACATTTCTTAATCTTCCTTTGAAATGAAGACGTCTCTACAAGTACCCCCTCTTTCCCCATTTAAACAGAGCGCAAGCAGAGGATCATCCCATTAAACAACCTGTGTGCGATGTTTTTAATATGGATTGCTGTCACACAGTTACTGCACACAAGCCTCACTACAGCCCTACGGGTCTCATTTTTACTTTCTCCATCTTTCCTTCCTCATCTCATTGTCACTAAATCTTGATCTGCTTCAGAATTTCTAGAATCGAGCCTCCTCTCACTGGCTTTCCCTCACCCACTATCACCACTCACATGTTCATTTGCAACCGATCTCTCCCCTGACCTCCAGCATTTTCCGGCTGTCCATGTCTTCTCCCTTCAATTCAATGTTGTTACTGCTAAACTAAGTTGGTCCTACCATTTTCTTGCTTAAAAGCTTCTACTGGCCCATCTTCTACAACCTACATTCAAACTCCTTAAAACAAACCCAAACTTTTCACTTGATTTCTCGATTTCTCTTGAGCTACTCCCAGCCAAGAACATTCTGTAGCTGCCCAGTGATTCAGCAACCTGAGCCTAGGATGTATCACAGATTCAGTTTGTTCAACCAATACTTACTGAGGAGGAATAATAAATTCTGACCAAGTAGAGAAAAAAGGGAAGTGGTCAGAAGTTGTTTCATACAGGACATAAATTTTGAGTTGTCTTCAAAGAAAACCAGGTGTTCACCAGGTGGACAGGAAACATACATATCATGCCACCTGGAACTACACTTAACCATAGCTGGTGTGTACTGTGTGAAGAAAGGCCCAAGAAGAAATAGGGTCAAAGAACCAGAAAAACAAGCAGACATGGCCTGAACTAGACCAGTTCTAATGGAGAATTATTAATTTTTTTTCTTAAAATGTTAAGAGTGGAAATAACTTGGTCATATTGGATTTTAGGAGAAGAAAGATTTTAGTCAAAATTATTATGGAAAATAATTTGAAATGGAACCAGATTTAGGGCAAAGAGTGCAGTCAGGAAATAGTACCAGCTACTCTGGGTGAGAATTTATAAGGAAGGCAACGAGTGAAATGGACAGAGTGGGAACTTATACAAGGACATTAACAGGGGCTGGCCAGTGGTACGGTGGTTGGGGATGCTGAATTCCCACATGGTTGACCCCAGTTTGGGTCCTGGACCTGGTGGCTTGCTTTCTCGCTTTCCCTTTCTCTCTTTGTCTCTTTCTGGTCAAATTTAGAAATAATAACAATAAATAAAACTAACTAAATAAATAATTTTTAAAAATAAGAGAGAGAGAGACATTAACAAGATAGAGCCGAAGGGCTTATGATCAGCATTTTTGGAGTAGAAGGAAAATTTCAGGTCAACAACCAGTTTTCTGTCTGGATGACTGGTAAGTCACTGAGATTTAAAAAGCCAGAAGAAGAAAATTGAAGAAAAAAATATACTGGATTCAGTTGGGGCATATTTTTATTTATTTTTTGTTTGTTTAACAATTCAATCTCACTAAATACGTTGTTGTACAACCAATCTCCGAAACTTAACATCTTGCAAAACTGAAACTCTATATTCAAGACACAGTAACTCTCTGTTTCCCTCTTCCCCTCCTAGCTCCGGCAACTGCCACTCTACTTTCTGTTTCTATGAGTTGAATACTCTAGACCTCTCTAGAAGCAAACCAGTCTAGTCGTGTATCTCTTGACAATAGGGATACAAGCTGAGAAATGAATTGTGAGGCAATTTTGTCTTTGTGTGCACATCACAGATTGTACTAACTCCAAACTAGGTGGTATAGCCTACTGGGTGCTTTGTATGTAACCCATGGCTTGTAGGCTACAAATCTGTGCCACATGTTACTGTACTGGATATCAAAGGCAATTGTAACAGTGGGATTTGTATACCTAAATATAGAAAAGGAACAGTAAAAAGTACAGAGTAGGAGACAAAAATGGTACACCTGTACCAGAGCGCTTAGCATGAAAGAAGCTTGCAGGACTGGATGAGTCACCAAGTGAGTGGGGAGTGAACCTAAAACCTCCAACATTACTGTCCACCACCGCAGACTTTATAAACACTAAAGGCTACACTACATTTAAAAATATATATATTTTCTTCCTTTGATTGCAAATTAGCGTCTACTTACGGCAAGTTTTTATTTTTTGAATTTCTGTGACCTTTTGTAATAATACTTGGCTTAAAAGACATACATTGTACAGCCATATGAAGATATTTTATTTGTGTTTTTCAAGTTTTTTTTTTTAAAAAAAAAACAAAGCCATGAGCACATGAATTAGCCTAGGCCTGCACAGGGTTAGGATCATCACTATCACTGTCTTCCCCCGCCACATCTTGTCTTCCTGGAGTCTTCAGGGGCAGTAACACACATGGCAGTATCATCTCCAGTGGTAACAATGCCTTCTGAAATACCTCCTGAAGGACATGGCTGAGCCTCTCCCTGAGGAGGTGTCAGTCTAATCAGTTCCAGCAACTCTAGTCAATTCCTCAGAAACCACCTGTGGGAATTCCTTAACGTCATTATCATCCAGACCCAGGGTGGAGTTGTTCGCCGTCTCAGTGACAGCTTTGCTGATTTTGGTAATCGCCTCATCCCTGGCAAATACTTTGAAGCTGTGGATGAACCTCTTGACTGTCTTCTTACAGATGCCACTTGTATGCTTCTTGGTGACATCACCCTAAGCTCAAGCAAGGTGGTTTTCTTTTAAAGAATTATTTAATTTTATTTAAATATTGTTATTATTTTAATTTGACCAGAGAGAGAGAGGGAAAGTGAGAGAGCAAGTTCCCAGGTCCAGGACTTAAACCATAGTCTACCATGTGGGATTCTAGCACCTTTAACCACCATGCCACCTGTCAGCCCCTAAACAAGGTTTCTGATGGAGTCATAAATGTTGTAATCATCCCAGAATTGCATTAGTGTCTTCTCAATGCCTTCTTCAGTTGAAAAATATCCTTAGCAAAAGTCCTCCTCAAGTATCAGGATTTAAAAGGCGTTGTAATTCAGACTGTGATATGGTGGTTAAAGCGGCGGATCCACATGGCCGACTGTGCAATTTAAGTCTCAGTCTCAGTGGCTTGGGAAATACACCAGGTATATGTCTGTGCATGCCCAAAATCCCAGAAAGAGGGAGACATGGGGGAGAAGGGATTGCATCTTGACAGTTCTCCATGGGAGGGAGTGTTTTCTCACATGACCTTTCTGTCTCTCCTGCTTTCTCTTCTCTCTGTCTCCAGGAACAGTACACACCCTCTAGCAAATTTAAAAAATAAATAAAAGCTATTATAAATCCTTGATCTATTGGTTTAATCAAAGAGGTGGTGTTTGCAGGAAGATACACTTTGATAGTGGGATGATCACCAATAAAATTAGGATGTGCAGGGGGCATGATCAACAATAAGCAAAGTCTTGAAGATATTAATGTGTTGTCTGCAAACAGTGATTCTCCCTTCACTAGCATAACCGTCAGTGGGGCAGCCTGGGCCAGTAGCTCCCCGTTGCTCCAGCAGTGCTTACTGATTGGTTTGCAGGCCCAGGGATCTCACTGTGCCAGAATACAAAGGGCTTCAATTTGCCCCCCCCCAACCCCCCCCCCCCAGAGAGACTGTTTGTCTTCCTGTCCTTTTTTTTTTTTTTTAAGAGATTTTTGCTATAGGGTGCATATACTCACCAGAGAGACGGAAAGTGAGAAATCACTCTTTGCGGGATAGCCACGCCACAGTCCCTTCTCCTCCATTCTCCTCTTGGGATTTTGGACATGACACATTTGCCTGCTGTGATTTTCAAGGCGCCAGGTCTGGGATTCAAACTGCAGTCAGCCGTGTGAGAATCCAGCGCCTTAACCACTATGCTATCTGCTGGCCCCATGATTTCTTTTATGTTTTTTAATTGGCCAGAGGGAGCATAAACTTGCCAGAGAGACAGACAGAGAGAAAGAGGGAGAAAACATAGCCCAGTAAGGCATGGTCACATCACGATCCCTTTTCCTCCATATCACCATCCTGTCAAGATTTGGGTCACGCATACATGTGCCTAGAATATTTACCAAGCCATTGGGGCCAGGATTAGAACTGAGGTTAGCCATGTGGTATCTGACACCCTTATCTCTTAGACGTGGGCCCACCCAGGTACTAATTTCTGTCTTTACTCACAGATGTTCTAGTGCTGTACAGTGATATTCAAAGAACTGCTTAAAACCATCACATTAACCTCCTTACATTGTGATTTGTACTTCTCTGCTTAAAATAGTCTGCAAATATTTCTCATTCATGATGAAATTAAACATATCCTCTTCTGCCTCATTTTTGTTTTTAAAGAATTATTTTCTTGGGAACCAGCAGTTAGCGTAATGGCTATGTCACTGGACTCCCATGTAGTCGACCGCAGTTCGTGTCCCGGACCCGGTGGCTTAAAACTCACGCTGGGCGCGTGTGCGTGCGTGCCCAAGATTGTGAGAGGAGAATGGAGGAGAGGGGATTGCGGCATGACCATCCCCCCTGGGGGTGATTTCTTGCTTTCTGTCTCTATGTCTCTCTCTGTCTGGCGAGTGCATGTGCCCTATAGTGAAAACCTCTCCCCCCCCCAAAAAAAAAGAATTATTTTCTTTAATTTTATTTACTTATTTATTTATTTATTTTAATTTGACCAGGGAGGGGCAGAACAAGAGAACTAGAGAAAGTGAGAAAGCAAGCTGCCAGGTCCGGGATGCGAACTGCAGTCAGTCATGTGGAAGTCCAGTGCCCTTAACCACCACGCCACCTGGCAGCCCCCGCTCTGTCTCA